CTAACAAGGCTGCAACCTGACACAATTTCATAGAATTTAAAACTACAAAGAGACTGAACACTCGATACTGCGACTGGCCTAGTGACCAACAATTGAATCCCAGACTTAGAGGCGTCAGCCGCTTATATAATAACCACAGTAGGCACTATGGTATACAGCACCATTTTTTCACCACTATATGTATTACAAGGACTAGTAAAGTCTCCTTGACATGCTTTGCGTGTTTAACTAACCTTGCGATTTAGCACCTAGTATAAATAACCTAGGAGTTGTTGTAGATGGTATCGGGACGGCAACAAGTCGGGTTGTGATTGTAGATCGATGGGTAAGAAGCGGTCGTTGTCGGTTTGGTGATATGGTTTTTTAGTTTTGATAATCCATTATGTTGATTAGATTAGGTATATGGATGTCAGATGGGAGTGTAATATATCTATATATATATATAAAAATGAATCCCTTTTTCCCTTGGTCACGGAATCACACGTGAATGGCTGGACCGATTTCACTAATTCTATTTTTTGTTGTATTTGTTATTATTAGGAGAAGGTTCTTATGACAGAAAAAATTCTAAGGGTACGGCCTACTGTGATTTTTTTTTTAAAATCCTGTAATACTTTGCCCGACCCGGGAATTGAACCCGTAATTGCCCGGCAGTCGCACTTACGACCACTCGGCCAATGAGACAGTCCTATTAATTTTATGACAGTACAAAATGAGGAACAGCTGCTGTTCAGTACATAAAGAGATATTTTAATGGATTTTAGAGCCACTCGACTGGACTAGAGCGTCGTATGAGCTAATTATACACATATTTACTACTGCATCCACCAAATAGTACGTAAAATATTAATAGGAAATATCTCGCAACGAAAATATCTTATGCACTATAAATAATTATCCGTATCTACTCGTCATGACATGATAATACTTACTCAATTTGACACGAATTAATAACACATAGTAATTTTATTGTAATGCCTTGTTGGCGAAGTGGTCGCAAGTGTGACTGCCGGGCAAGGGGTCTCGGGTTCGATACCCGGGTCGGGCAAAGTATTACTGGGTTTTTTATAAGTTCTCAGTTGTAGCACGGAGTCTGGAATTGTGCCCGGTATATGGCAATAGGCTCACCACCTATTACATGGGACTCATAACATAAATAGTGAAAAGTGGGTGTTACATAATGTAACTTTTCACTTTTCACTGTTCACTTTACAATGATTGTACACCCTGCTACAGATCGAGCTTTACATAACCAGTATCAACTGAACGTTAAATGTGCGGAAAGATGATGCGACGCGACACCAGGATAAACTGGTTTTGTATAGATTCATGTGTGGCCGCGTGTACACTGGCATAATGTGCACCTCTGCCTACCGGGGATAAAAGGCGTGATGTTATGTATGTAATGTAGTAATTTAAATGATTCTCAATTGCTATGTGATGAACACATATACTAATATAACTATCAAATATTACTATGGTGCCAAATGCCACTAACTAACAATAGTATCTATAGATAGATTTTTTAAGGGGGGAGTATCATCGAATGGCTTCTTCTGCCTGGGTGAGGCGGGAGGGAGTGTCAGACGCATAACAACCCGAGACTCCTTGCCCGGCAGTCGCACTTGCGACCAACGAGGCATTTTCAGACTCTTACTGACTAAAAACCACCCCGTTCCTACTCCAGCACTTCGAACCGAAGCCCCGGTAACCTTTTATGTTCTCAGCGGCTCCGTATCGACATCAACCCTGTTTGTCACAACTGTGGATCAATAGTTAGAATACAGCCACTACACCACTACATTTAGTTGTTAGTGCATTGAATAAACAAATAAAAAATTGCTATAGCCACATAAAAATCCCTCAATCATACTACACCAATCCCAATCACAAAAACAGCAACAAACACTCACTCAGCACACCAAATTGCACCAAAAAAATCCCAATCGCAAATAATTATCCGGAATCTCAAATGGCCCTAAATCTCAAACGATTCTAAATCTCCACTAACTGTCCACAGCCCGTACGATATACTGCTACGAGTGTGACAGCTGGACGGACCCCAGGTGTAAGGATCCCTTCAACTACACAGCGCTGCCCAGAGACCAGCCGCCATTGCAGACCTGCAACGGATGCTGCGTGAAGATGGTTCGATATTCAAAAAGTCGTAAGTATATCTTTGATTATTAACATTATTTTTTTATTTATAACATCACGCCTTTTATCCCCGAAGGAGTACGTAGATGTGCACATTACGGCACTTAATGACACTATACAATGTAACACCAACTTTCACTATTTATGTTATGAGTCCCATGTAATAGGGGTGAGCCTAATGCCATATACAATGGGCACAATTCCAGATTTCGTGCTACTACTGAGATTTGTCGAAAACCCAGTAATACTTTGCCCTATCCGGGAATCGAACCCGAGACCCCTTGCCCGGCAGTCGCACTTGCAACCACTGGACCAACGAGGCAGTGATTATCATTATACTAGAGACAAATTATAAATCTTTAATAACAACAAGGCCTTTTGGACAAGGATTGGGGAGATTGGGGAAGGGGAGGGTAATTGGGCCTCCGGTAACCTCACTCACACGACGAAACACAACGCAAGCGTTGCTTCACGTCGGTTTTCTGCTCGTGGTATCACTCCGGTCGAGCCGGCCCATTCGTACCGAAGCATGGCTCTCCCACACTTAAAGTATGACAAAATAGGACATACGTCAAATAAAACAATTATAATCAGTTAATTCATAAACAATCAAATATCGGAAATAATCAATTGAACATAATCAAGTCAAAAATAATAATGATCAATAAACAATAACCAAAAATAACAATAATCAAATAATCTAGTAAAAATAAAACAGAATCAATTGTTTGGCATCACGTAAGTGTGTGAGAGTCATGCTTCGGCACGAATGGGCTGGTTCGACCGAAATAATACCACGGCTGAGCAGAAAACCGAAGTGAAGCAACGCTTGTGTTGTGTTTCGTCGTGTGAGTGAGGTTACCAGAGGCCCAATTACGGTAGAAAGCGGTATTGCGCGTACGAAGTCGCGGGCAGAAGCTGGTATCCTATAAAACAGTCGCTGGCCAAGAGAGATGGTGTAAAATATCTATTGACTTTTTCCTGTTTATTCTCTAAAACATTCTATTAACTGTTTCTTTAAACTCCGTTCGGATTGGGCTGCTAGCCAACTGTTAGAGTACTTCGTTAATTTTTGGCAATCAACTCGTAAGACTGTTTGTCAGTCTATGACAATTTAATGGGGATGGACTATCTATCATTGTTTATGTTACCGGTCTTTGAACTGGGGACGTCACTAATTAGTGTTGTCAATAGTTCCTGTGTATGGGATGTCGATATCGATGTTTTAATTTATAATCTTTCTAAAATTATCTAGACACCACTGGCAAACAGTCAAGGGAAAAATCGTGAGGAAAACGGGGTTTATAATTTCTTATTAAGTTTGAAATTGCTAATCCGCATTGAGCAAGCGTGGTGATTAATGCTCAAACCGTTTCCGTACGAGAAGAGGCCTTTGGTCAGCAGTGGGTACTTATAAGCTGCTGATGATTGGTGATTAAAATATTATATATTGTTTACCTAAGTGAGGTGATTTAGGAAAACTAAATTGTTGGAAATATCTTCAAATATTGTCGCTTCGAACTCTGTCGGGTTATTTCAAATTAAAACAATTATACTTCTTAACCAATAATATTTGTTCTGTCCATAGTTTTTTTAAGGGGGAAAAATCGAATGACTTTTCCCGCCTGGGTGAGGCGGGAGGTAGTGTCAGACTCTTACTGACTAAAAACCACCCCGTTCCTTCTCCTGCACGTCGAGCCGGAGCCCCGGTAACCCGTTAGGTTCTCCGCGACGTTCTGTCCATAGTACTTACAGAATTCAATTAAGAATCCCTGTTTCCAGGTTCTCTTATGAGGCGAAATAATCTATTCATTATACCTTTGATTGTTCTCCACTTTTCCATCCATTCTCCAAAATAACAACGTTGTTTCTTTGTTTCCAGCATACGAAGTGGTCCGGCGAACGTGTACATCACAACTCCAGATAAATCTATTCATGGTAGACCACGTGTGTATGATGGAAAGTACTGGCACTGGCCACATGTGCTTCTGCGAGGAAGATATGTGCAATGGCGCGCAAACACCGGTCGCAGCACTGGCCTTGGTCGCAACACTAGTCGCATGTGCATGCCTAAGGTGAAGTAGGCGTAGTGACTGCCCCGAGCGGTCGATTGTCGAGCACCGATGTCGATGACTGACTAATATTGTCTGTTTTTCACTTTCATATGACGACAAATCGAGACGTCGGTCAGACAATATGAAATCATCGATGTCGATAAATTGTGTTAACTGTCAACCCTATGTCGAATCTTATCGATAAGTGCGATCGAGGTAGATTTATCGATGAATCGACAATCGATCGACTGTACCTTTGGGCCCTACCCTAGCTGAGATTTAATTACATTTTTCGTCCAAACGTAGACGTAGTTTAGTCTTGTGGTGCTTAGTTTTTACAGCACGGCAATTGATTCCCGTCAGGCCGCATTGACTAATGCTTAGCTTGACATTTTCGAGATCATAGCGAGTACAATCTTTGTGAGAGCTCCTCGGTTTAGAGGCAACGAATTATAAAATTACGAACGTTTAATGTAGATTTTTGTAAGAAAAAATATAGTTGAATGTGTTGTAAGAGTGAATCTTTAAACATACTATGAGAGATTTTTCAAAGAAAATGAATCAACATACTATAATATCTCTCTAAAGACAAAAAGGTACAAAACGAGTCGAGAAGCTCAACAAATGACCGAAAAAATAATTCATAAAAGTAAAATAGTTGACAAGCTTAAAGCTTACCAAGTGGTGTCAAAACTAAGCACATTTTTCTTCTAAGGCTAATCTCATGTTCAGCAGTTTTTGCTCTAAAATTATTAATAAAGTTTTCCTGGATTTAGCATGTACATAAAGCGCAGTATAAAAGCGATAGGTATAAAGAGACTAGGATATGGCGAGAGTGAGAGTGCTGAAACTAGATGGCAGTGGTTCTTGTAACAAAATGTGAAGCACTGCCATCTAGTAGGTTTTACGAGTTACTAATTTCTCCTGCGAACGCTTCTGATTGGTCCAATTATCGACCAATAAAATTTGCTCATAGTTGCACCTAATCTTAGAAGTGAGCACCTTGTAGATAGAGAAAGAAATCGAAAATGAAATGAAACTAGCAAGTACTGCCGATAAATAGATGAATAGTTATCGATAAGGACATCAGATTGGTGATATCAGTTCCCGAGATTAGTGTTAAAAAACGGTTGTGTTTTTATTGTCTTCAGAAAAGACGTAGGTAATTAAATTGTCAATTCAGTTTTAATTTTTAATTAATTTTAGCTTGTATCGTCATTGTGTTGTTTTAAACCCTTGTACAGGAGTAATATTTTTTAAGCGACGTAACGGATTTTCATCGATATCGATAGATTTGTGAAATGTCCACTTCACTAGTTTAACAGTTGCGTTTAAAAATAAGGATGTTAAAAATGATTATCGATAGTTTTAAACACGTTTAATATTTTTCTTTAGGTTTGCTCTTATAATGGTTTTTAGACAAAAAATCGTAAGCTAGAAAAATATTCTAAAGCCATTATTGAATTCGTTTAAAAAATTTAATGTTCCTACTTTTAATTTTCAAGTACACATTATTTTTTCATAATCTGCAAGTGACATAGATATATAAATAAAAGAAAAAATAGTAAAAAGTATGCTAGACTATAGTGCAACGTATAAATTTTGATAATTATAGTGTAAAAATAAATAATTTTATGAAATTAAACACCAAATACATTTTAATCATTAAATATAAGTTATTATTATAAATAATATATCATAGGGTAAATTATAAGCAATGTGTGCTTCGTTGTGACGGGTTCGATACCTGTCATACAGCACTTTGTGATGACAGCAAAAATACCAAACAGGGCGGGAATTTTACGCGGTACATATATATGTATACACACATAAGCTCACGCCTGTCTCCCATGGGGGTAAGCAGAGAATATGTAACGCCGATTGGTACAATTCTTACATACTTCTTTCGCTTCTTCAAGAGTCATCAGTCTTTTCATGCATGCTCGTCGGTTAAGGGTACTTTTTTGGCCCTTCTTTAATGTATCGCTAATCTGGATGATATAAGTATATATGCGTCTAGGGCGCCTTCAACCGACGGTACCATTCTTACGCGCCTTAGTCAACTGGAAAGCATGTACTAAAATGATTTGAAAATATGCAGGTGTAAACAAGTTTAACGCATTAAAATATGATGCTATGTAGGTACTGTCGTAAATTTTTCAGCTATTGCTTATTTTGACTTAATCGTCAACTGGCGAGCGCGAATCTCGCGAGCGCGCGCGAGTTGGCACTTTTCGATTTTGCCTAGTTTTTTTGTCGTCAACTCGCGCGTCTATATAATTTGATGTTTTAATGTATAGTCAGCTACAAAAACGTTATAACAAATTTAATTTAGTTAGGCACTTACCTACTATAAATGTATAAGAAACTTTATGAAATTTGATTTTTAAAATAAAACAAAATATACATCGTTTTGAAATCAGTTTATTATAAATCAACAGGACAAAATATAAATTATTAGTAGTATTTCCCTTACTAATTATCAACAATATCACATTGATTTGAGAATTTGGCTTATTATCTTATTATCTAGTATGTAAATTGTAAAAAACTAAGTAAATAAAATAGAAACAACGAAAACACTCCCCTCACATACTCGTATACAAAATTATATGTGAGGAGATTTTCGATAAATCTCATAATATAAATAATTTAAACCGTACTGAAAATTGGTAAGTAGATATAAAATAGTAAAGCTAAACATAGTCATTGACAACAAACTGACTTATTATTGCTCACTAATAAAATCAATCTTAGGAACCATAGAAAGAGTCTTAGAAACTATAAAATCACAGATCAGATATGGTTGTAAATGATTTTTACAAAAAACGCTAAACACTATCAATAAGTAGATTCATCAATTGGCTAAGTTATTACTGACGACCTACAAATAAAACTAATCACAGACTATAAAATCACAGATCATGGTTTGTTATAAATGATTTTTATAGCAAACGTTAAAATAAACAGACTATGCTAAATTAAATCAAAAATCACAAGATCAAAAGTTCGATACATAAGTCACAACCATATCTGATCTGTGATTTTATAGTTTCTAAGACTCTTTCTATGGTTCCTAAGATTGATTTTATTAGTGAGCAATAATAAGTCAGTTTGTTGTCAATGACTATGTTTAGCTTTACTATTTTATATCTACTTACCAATTTTCAGTACGGTTTAAATTATTTATATTATGAGATTTATCGAAAATCTCCTCACATATAATTTTGTATACGAGTATGTGAGGGGAGTGTTTTCGTTGTTTCTATTTTATTTACTTAGTTTTTTACAATTTACATACTAGATAATAAGATAATAAGCCAAATTCTCAAATCAATGTGATATTGTTGATAATTAGTAAGGGAAATACTACTAATAATTTATATTTTGTCCTGTTGATTTATAATAAACTGATTTCAAAACGATGTATATTTTGTTTTATTTTAAAAATCAAATTTCATAAAGTTTCTTATACATTTATAGTAGGTAAGTGCCTAACTAAATTAAATTTGTTATAACGTTTTTGTAGCTGACTATACATTAAAACATCAAATTATATAGACGCGCGAGTTGACGACAAAAAAACTAGGCAAAATCGAAAAGTGCCAACTCGCGCGCGCTCGCGAGATTCGCGCTCGCCAGTTGACGATTAAGTCCTTATTTTCACGCTAAGAAAATTTATTCAAAATATTAATGAAAAACATCTTACTTCGTTACGAATGTTGTTTACAATTTTTCACAGTTTGATGTAAACGTTATATCGATTTATTACAGAAGATAATTTTAAAAACTCAAGACAGATGGCGCTGATTTACAATTTACTTATTGTCCATACTGTATTATTTGCGAACTGTTACCATTATTACATTGGTATTTAAGTGATTTAAATAAATATATCAACTCACCACTTAAAGAAAAACGATTTCAATTTTAGATAAATAAAGTAATATCTAACGCTATCTAGCGGTGAATGAAAGCAATTTAATTTTACCGCGTAAAATTCCCGCCAAAGCCATAAGAATCGAGAGTGATATAATAAAATAAATTAGTCGCGAAATATTGTTAGTACAAAATATATTTTCAGCATAATTTTGCTAGAAATAGAATAAAATATCCAAATAGCAGGACGAAGAGTATTGACATGAGTTTTATCGCAGTACTGTTAGGATTTTGCAACGATATGTATAAAAAAGACATTATCTGGATATAGATAAATGACAATGTGTTCTAATATTAACGAAAGAACAGCTGTATAATGGCTATTTTAGTTTGACACACTGATAGACAAATTACATTTAGACAAAAACAATTCTTGCTTAAAAAATTTGCAACAGATGAGTGTAAAGGATATTGCTCTTATTGACATGTAATATGTAAATTGAGCGTTTTATTTCAGTTATGAGATATTTTTGGAAAGTAAGAACATCGTGAAATAAGTGTACGCTATTTATTTCACAATAAGCTTATTGCCATCTTTAGGGTCTAATGTTAAGTAATAGAGGATTTGCAAAAATAGTCAGTCCTAGATCAGACACGAATCTGAAACAGAATAACCAACAGTGCTGCGATAGAAACGAAACGTTTATAAGTAAAATTTATAAAAGTCACAAAAAATATACATTTTTATTATAATCCACGCTAGCCAACGCTGAGACGCAATTTATACATTATTATTATACATTTAAAAATGAATTATACAATTTCACGTAAAATCGACATGTTGAACGTGTAACAAAGATAATGTCCGATATATGCCGGCTGAATATAGCAATAAAATAGAGAAATATATAACTGTTCATCAATTATAATTTCAAACAACTTGACTCTTAAGGTATCTAAAGAAAAATTGTATAAAAAATCAAGGTGATGTTTTAGCAGGCAGACTATAAAAAATGAGTGAAAATTGTTGGTAGTACCTTCTCTATGCTTCTACCTTCTTCTAATACCTATTTATAATAGTTTGCTGCTTTCTCTATATAAAAATAGTTTCTATATATTCCCGTATCACGTCTTTTCCCGCTGAGTGAGCGAGACGAAAGTATAATAAATAAATAAGAAGAAATGAGACAGTGATACGCTTGTAGCTAACTTCAGACTGCAAGGTTTTGTCTGTCCGTCCTACAGCCCGATGTCTGCTCGAGCCAAGTTCATGAACAGTTCTATATTTCTATATTTAATAAAGTAAATTAGTTTAAATAGTTAGATACGGGTGCAATATTTGATGAGCGAACTTTAGTGATATTTTTTGTTACTAGTAATTTTAATAGTAGATCGTTCATTGTGATTTTTACGACGTATTTAGTTAAGTAGCACGCTTAGATTTAACACACAAATATCTTCCTGAGATAATTAAGAAATATTTAGTGGGATATTGTGGAATGTAGCGTTTTTATAAACCCCGAAAATGTGTATTGTAAGTAGGGATTCAGAGGTCTGTGAACATGGCTTGTTTTACTGCTTTATGTGTGGGTGGAATACAATTCATGTTGCCCATGATAATTAGCAATATTCGCAATAATTTCCTTATCATTCAAAGTAGAATACGCTAGACACGATTGAGTTTTAGTTGTTGGAAGTAGGTCAAATCGGGTCTCAGGGATAGCTTTCCATATTTCAAGCTCAAGTTCTAAAGATTCAAGATATTTAAACATAAAGTAAGCCTTAGGACTATTGCCTTTAGGTTCCTGGGAAAATAAACCGGTTGAAAATTAAGTGTGAAGTATACATTGTTATATATTTTTAGTGAAAGGGCCTGAAGTGTCTCGCGTCGTAAAAATCACAACAGCGACGAATTAGGCTGTATTAAACAGGAGTGCAAAGCATATGATAGGTATTATAAATATGTAATATAATTAATAAAAAACAAATATATAAATAATAATAACGACCGTCATCATTATGTACTTCCTAAAAATTGTTATTAATTATTTAGTAAATTAAAATTAAAGTAATTCCTTTTTATATTTCTTGCATAGGTGTGTCGCGAGCGGATATTGTTTGGGTTATAAAATTAATGCTAAGAGATTGATAAATTATGAATATCATAGACGATAATTATGATTAAGAAATTATCCCGCCCGTGAACGCTGATTTGTTTATACAATTTGAATTACTGTACTGTACAAAATATAACAAAAAAACTGACAAATTCTATATAGTTTTCACTTATAATGTAAATTATAAAAAAAGATATTATCATTTTGTATTGAGAAAAGTAATTATCAAATTGTATAATATAATTCAGTGAAATATAAGAGAATACTGAGAAAAATTGATCCTAAACAATGTTTGCTTGTACACGGAGAAATGTGCTAATCATTCATGACATGACATTGCGTATCACTGCATGTTACTTGAAAAATATAAAGCGATCCCAATCTGACAAGATTGCAGCCAAACATAGGGAAGATAGTCAACCATTTGCCAAGATAGGTAAGAAAAATTGAAATGTTACAGAATAAATTACATTTAAAAAGTGTTATGCTAAATAGTGTCCACTTGTTGTTTTTTTTTCTTCTTCTACTCTTATAATATCTTCTGATTCACTTCGTTGCGGGAACCAAGACAGTTACTCATGTCCCTGGGACGCGCCGGACTTCAGTGTTCTGGTGTTTTCATGGTTGTATCTACTGTAGATCCTGGCTTACAGGAGTTGCAGCGGTTTTGGGAGGTTGTGGCGAACTTGTCCCAAAAAAAAAAGTGGCCACTTGTTAGCAGCATATAAGATTTTTTTAATGCATCAAGTAAGTAAACTACATAGAGTAGTATCGACACTCAAGTATGATCAGTGACGATATGAAAATGAACGTTACCGGCTTAAAAATAGGAACTTGTTTTTAGAGTTACTGATTGTTGTCAGCGTCGAGTGCGAGTTTGTTTTATGTTAACGCGATCGACACGTTTAATACTTTCGCCACTCTGATTGGCTATTCTAACTTGATCATTCAATCAGAAGGCTTTAATACGGTATTATTTCGATTGCGATATACTCGCACGTAGCACTCCGACCTGTAACTTGGTATTTTGGTCTTATGAATCTTGCCTTATGTTATGGCTGTTTTCTTGTCAGAAATATAAATATTGTACAAGGATCGGCATGGCACAGTAGACAGGCTTACACGATCACTGGAATGCTGTTAATACGGATGAATTTGT